ACGTCGAGTGCCCATAACTGTCCCCTCGTAGATGGTTAGTGCGTATAGGCCAGTAGCCAGACTCAGATCAAATACCCAGATCTCGTTAAGCGTGTTATTTTGAAGTAACCGCGAACGCCGACCAGGGCCAGGCCCACCTCTCTCCTAGGTGGTCTCAACCTGCCCTGTCGCTCCGCCTCAAAGTAACAGTCGGGGGCCGTCGGGAACCCAGGCCCACCACTACCTGGGTGGAACCACCTGCCCTTTCAGCCCCCATCTCCAAACAGTATCACCGGTAATGTAACAGTGTAAAGTATATAGTATATGCCCGTGATCACCTCCCGAAGTGATCACAGCCCAGTAGTATAGCATGGCAAATGGACAAGAGTGTAGGGCCACTGATGATAATCTAGCATCATATACTAAGCATTTAGGATTGCAGGTAAGGTATCAACAGTTGTAGCAACAATGACAGGCTATGCATCAGGATAGGATTAACGGAAAGCAGTAACATGCTACACTACTCTAATGCAAGCAGTATAGAGAAGAGTAGGCGGTATCTGGTGATCAAGGGGGGCTTGCCTGGTTACTCTGGCAAGTAGGGGTCGTCAACAGCGTAGTCCATCGGGGCACCAGTAGCGGCGTCAGTCTCGTAGTCTACCGAATAGAAGAGGGGAAAGAAACAATGAATACAATGCAAACAGATGCATGACATGACAATGAGCGGTGCTAGGTGGGCCCTAACGCAGTAGGAGGTGATACCGGCGAAGGGGAAAACATCCGGGAAAGTATCCCCGGTGTTTCGCGTTTTCGGACAAATGAACCGGAGGAGGAAAGTTGCGTGTTTGCTATGCTAGAGATGTGTGGCGGACGAACGGGCTGCGTATCCAGATTCGTCTCGTCGTTCTGAGCAACTTTCATGTACAAAGTTTTTCCATCCGAGTTATGAATTATTTTATATGTCATTTCAAAGATTTTAAAAAAATTCTGAAATTATTTAATTCGAATTATAAACAGTGAAAAACTTTTGTCACCTAGTGCTTTTCTAGCCACAGTGTATGACAGTGGGGCCAGTGGGGCCGGGTTGACTCAGTCAACATTTGACCGGCATGAATAGTAAAATTGGATCCCACATGTCATTGGCTATACCTAGTCAAATAAATAAATACTAACCTAATTAATGGGATCCACATGTCATCTGCTAATAGCAATCCTAACTAACTAATTAACCCTAAACTAACAGAACAGGGGCGGCCTCACATACCCAGAACACACACGCACACAACACACACATGCACTGTGTGGTTGTGCATCACGCACCAGCACACACATGCACATGGCCATGGCCGTGGTATGGCCAGGACGCGGCAAGCGTGGCGCGGGTGGTGCGGCCCGCAGGTACAGGCCGCGATGAGCAACGGCACTAGCAGGCAGCGGCGGAGGCATCGACGACCAAGCGCGGCAGCATCTAGCGACAGCAGCAACCACGCATCGGCATCAGCTTATAAGGAGCAGCAGCAGCGTTAAGCAGCAAAAGCAACGGCAACGCAAGGAGCAGCAGGCTACAGGAGCAGGGAGCAGCAGCCGCAACAGCACGTACGCGTACGCGGAAGTGGAGCTCCGGCCATGGTGGCGTTCGACACGTAGGGGCACGGATCGAGGGGGGAAAGTAGGGGATTCGGCAGAAAAGCTCACGGGGAGGCTCGTGGACATGGTCAAGGCCGCCGGGGTGGCCCGTTGGGGTGGCAAACGACGGCGTGATGCGGCGGCCGCGGGCGAAGACGAGCACGATGGCGAGGCTACGGGGCATCCTAGCTCGAGCTCTTCGGCGTGGTGATGGATCCGACCACGACGGAGCCCCCGGACATCTTCGAGCGGCGAGGGGAGGCCGGTGGCCATGGTGGTAACGATGGCGCGACAACGATGGCTCGGAAGCGAGCAAAACCGAGAGGGAGAGGACGAGCGAGGGGAATTTTGTTGGCTAGGGTTTGTCAACGGGGTCGGGAGGGCTTATGCATCTCCAGGACGAGCGGATGATCGACACGGCGACGGAGGAGGCCATGGCGGGCATGGATGCACGCCACTCACAAGCACTGCCTCCTCTCTGTACATAGGAGGAAGAAAAAGGCCGTGGTGGGCTTGGGCCTGCACTGTAGTATTGGGCTACAAGTGCGCAATGTAGCTTTTCGTTTTTTCCATTTCCTTTTCTGTTCCTCTTTTCTTTTCTTTTTTTGATATTGCGTGCTATCTACTTCGCCTAGGAAACGAATTTATTTAGTCATGAAACTTGACACCCAAATACTAGGTAATATTTTGAGGCCGCACAACAAGTCTCACATTATTTGGAAATTGTATTTACTTTTAGGATTTAAAATGGCCAAACTAGATGATATTGAACGTGTTTAAAGGTTACTGGGGTTAACTGGGTTAACCAAATGAAGTTGGTTTCTACATGATAAATTATCAGGGTAATTTATGGATTAATGTGAACATTTTTATTTTACTCTTTGATGAAATATTATTTTGACTCTATTTTAAATTTGAAATTGAATTGTTTTTGAACCATTGCAAGATCGTCCATAGTAATCGTGGTGACGTGGCATTATTAGCAGGGGATTACTGTAGCTTAATTATCGGGGTGTTACACGTAGGTAGGTAGGCAATTAGATCCTCTCTTACCGAACGGTATAGGTAGGCGAGAGATGCGGTCCCCCAACTGTACCCTGCCTCCCAGTCTGCTAGGAAGAAGAGATACGACCAGTTGGCAGAGTCCCCGAAGCTGTCTGGAAACACGACCTCCGTGAGAAGATACCATAGGTAGGCCCTCGCGTACCACTCCACGGTCATCTCCTCGGCGCCTTCGGGGCATTTCTGCCGGTGCTCCGAGAGCCAGGTCAATGGCACACCGGATTTACGGTTACCCTTGACAGCGGGGCAGTCGCCGATGAGGGTGGCAACCCTCTGCTGCCAGTTGGTCCTCTCCACTCGCCCGATGAGTGCATGACCCTCGATCGGCATGGCAGTAATCATCACCCAATCCTCGAGGGTCACCGTCATCTCCCCGCATGGCAGATGGAAAGAATGGGTCTCCGGTCGCCACCGGTCAATCAACGCCGTCAGAGCTGCGTGGACAAGCGTCGGCGGCTGACGCTTGAACTGCAACACAAAACCCAACAGACGGGCTCTCTTGAAGAACGGCGCGTAGCGCTCGTCGTAGTCCATATGCCCATGAACCCCGTGACCCGTCATGCGCAGTGGCTGGAGCATCTGTCAAAAAGTGGACGCCAAAAGTTAGGAAATTATTTTCATCAATCCGAAAACTTTCATCGAAATTTCATTCATATCACTTACCTCTCCGTTCTCTATGAACCGGGCACGATGACCCTTGTCGAATGCCCAGTCCAGCATGGAGTACCGTGGGCCGATGTTGTCCGCAAGAGGTAGCCGCCTTAATAAAATTTCATAAACAAAACCACCATAAGCATAAAGCATACATAAACAAAAAATGAACTCAAATCATATCAACATGCATCATATCAAAATAAAATTTTAAGCATATTCCTCCAACAACAACTACTACACATGATGGATCAAATCATATCGACATGCATCATATCAAAAAAAATCCTCCAACATACATCATATCATCATATTTTTAAATAATTTTTTCAAACAACATCTTCATATCATCATATCAACATGCATCATCAAACTAGGGTTCATCATCTTCACACTAGATCATATCATCATATCAACATGCATCATCAAACTAGGGTTCATCCTCATATCAACATTACATCATAATTTTTTTAACAAAAAAAAAGTATGAACTAGGGTTCATCTTCACACTAACATATGAACTATTGATTAGAGTTCATATCCAATACCACTAGTTACTAAAGAACTAAGAACTGCAACTACAATCAATCTTAGGTGAAACAAATCCAATCTAAGTTCAAAAATATGAGGGATTTTAAGCAAATAATGCGTCGAATCGGAAGCAAGTTTGCAAAAACTAATTGGAGGGATTGGAGGAGTTTACGTTTCTCTCTTCGGGGCCATCTCGATCCGCAAAAACGATCAACAAACGGTGAAGATCTGAGGGGGGAGTGGAGGAGATGAGAGAGGGAGAGAGGGGCGACTTGGGGAAGAAAAAG